CTTCAATGGACGACCTTGATTCCGTACATCGAAGGAAAGAGTTCACGTACTGAGCCTCTAATACTTGGCATTAAAGCGGTAAGAAGTGATAAAATGTAGCGCAGATGGTATCTTATCCGTTTTTATCGATTGATAAGATTACCTGTCACCCGTCATCAATGTCCTCATCGCCAAATCTCTAAGATTTGGTAGCGTGAACCGCCTCGAACAGCGACGACGACTGCAACCTCCCTTATCAGCACCAACCCTGCCCCGCACGAGCACACGTCCAGCTGCCACCCGAGCAGCTCGTGCAATGGCTCGGAGTGTACCGAATGGTTGTCTTATATGCTGTTATCACAATCAAAACATTGGATTGATACATCTGCACCAATCGGTTCCCGGTTTGCCTAGCGGTCGTATTCTCCTTCACTAACGTGTTCGAACCCGTGAAGCATTTTGCGGACGGACAGACATACAAACATACATACATACCGACAAACCGACACACAGAGTTAGTGGTTTATAGAATGAAAGGGTGTTGAACCCGGAGCCATTTAGCGTAGTGGGCTTCAATTTCTCCCCGCGTCCCTCTACCATTTTTTTCTGGCATCAGAAAGGAATACTATGCCCATATCTAACAGCATATCCTCCCAGTATTCACGCTGACTTCGATTTTGACATAAAAATACAGTGGCGCCATATTGATCCACCAACGCCAGACCATCCCATTCAAAAGTGCCGACGGTTTTATTCGAATAAAACAAAGAGGAGAATAGATAAAAAAGTAATATTTTGGCTTCAAGTTAAGTAAATCCCTCCTTCACCAATGACCCGCTCCCAGTGCCCCGAAAGCCTTTGGACCTCTGGTACCTTCGATTTTTCAACAAGTGCGAGTAAATTGCTGTTGATGCCAATTTCGGCGAATGACAAAACATTGTAGCGTTTGCCGTCGGAGAGTACTCTCGACTGACCAGAACAGTTGGAATCGAACGGCTTTATGTTGGGCGAATGGGGCGATTGAACCCAGGTCTCAGTATTGTTTGTGTCCCAGCACTGCCCTACAATACAGTTACTCGGGGTCTGGCACTATGACGAGCAACGGTGGCCTTCTTGTAGTGTGTGGTATCATCCATTTGTCGATCTGATTGCCGAGGAACAGGCAATATACACCGACAGCGACGATTTTATTCTCTGTATAGAGCCGCCTGAAAGCCACAGTGTGGGAATCCTTTGCTATGATGATCATCCACTTGCGCCCACGTAACTCCTCATGGTAGAACTCGGGCGGCTTCTCATCTGCATTCATACAAAATTGACGATTGTGAGTTTTGGCTCGAGGTCCAAGACCACCCATATTTCATCTAGGGCCGGGGTGCGTTTTCACAGTCGTGAATGACATCTCATGCTGAGAACATTACTGCTAGAGGCATAGAATCGGTACTGCGTTCGTGCTTCTACAAGAAAATTAGGTACCCATGCGCACACCCTCTTGACCATCCTCAGTTTATCGGACATAACTCGGGCAGCAGTTGCAGCAGGGATGTCAGTCTCGCGGGAAGCTCGACAAAGGTCCAGGCTCTGGGATCAGACATTCAGCGCTTGACTTCATCCACCCTTTTTTCTTGTGCAGGATGAACATTATGGGACCATCCACGACAACAATTTTTTTTCCTTGTTTTTCCTTTCTTCCTGAACCAAACCTTCCACCTTGTATATCGAAACACCACAACACACAACTACTGGCCTGCGCAGGTCGAATTTGAGCGCACTTTCCTCTTATGACGCCTGATTTGAAAATCCGGCGCTGATTTTCACCACTCAGGCTTCTTTTCAATTTCTCGAGAACTTCTTCTGTGGGTAGGTTCGCCAAATTTCACAGATACATAGCTAAAGGTACTAGCCTCCAAATGGTATAGTAGCCCGCTGCCCTATCCCCTTTGCTTTTCTGCCATTCCTCTATATGTCTCGGCACTTTCGAATAGGATGACCTAATAGATTTCTGGTCGAGGAGTCACCCTCATACGCTGAGATTCTGCTTGATCACGATTATGAGTACTCCTAGACGAGATTTCAAAAGAAAAGGAAGAGAAATCAGGGCAGGACACATAACTGGTTGGAGATTTCAGTCGAGTCCGTGAGGCCCCTTCCTCCACTTTTTAAGATGCTTGGTAACGCGCCAAGCTCGGAACGGAATTGCGCCCCTCCTCGTCATCAACGAGCGAATATGACCACCCCCCCCCCTTACAACGTCCGTGAAACAAGAAAAATCAACTATTAAAATGAATTTTTCTCACTCGAAATACGACCTCCCCTCCCTCAGCGACAAAATACTACCCTACCTGTTGGCAAATCCCCAACAAATACATGCCTTGAAAGAAATGCAACTGTGCCGGGGGTAGTTTTCTTCGCAAAACGCGATTACCGTCAATGTGCTAATTATCAACTCTGCTATAGTGATGTAGTGTCTGCTATTTCGCTCACGTACTATTTTCGGTTTGATTGAGCAATCTTGCTATCTCATCGCCGATGCCTTTCAGCGATCCGATCAAATCTGTTGCATTCACATCACGGAGTTCTGTTGAATTGAGTGGCTTTCTCGAAGCTGGAGCAGGTGTAGTCGTTGAAGTCGTACTCGTCTCCATTATAATCTCTAGGCCTTCAATGGGAGCTTTCCGAGTAGCAGCTATCAGAATGTAGAATCCGACTGCACATGTGATTATCATTACGGTGACCATTATTAGTGAACAACATTCCAAAGCGCACTGAAATGGAGGAGGCTCACATTCTTCGAAGTGCTGAAAGATAGTCACAAACAGTCTAAATCAGAAACGTAAAGTAAAACTATCCCACGAGTACTGAGTTATGGGCAAAAGTCGAACCCCAGGCGAGGGTCGAACCCACACCACACGCTTTCCGGGCGAGTAACTTGAAGACCAGGATCGCAAGAATCGGCAATGTTGGCCGCAGTCGAGCCTTCACAAACGAACAAACAGCCTTTGCAGCTTTGATTCCATGATAGTGAGTTTTACCTATATTGCATTTTGGGACCCCTTTTTAGATGATATTGTTCGCTGCGGATGAAGGGCTTGTTAGGTGGGCTGGGTGTTGCGCGATGCCGAACCCCTTTCCTTTAATTATTGCGCGAGCAGCAACAGCGACAAGGCAGGCATATCGTGCGCCCCACCGTTATAAGGGCGTGTGAGGGGCATGGCTTGGGCGCTGTCATGACAGCCGTTGCCACCAACTGACCTTGTGTGTCTGCCAACAATTTGCTCAACGGCGTGTCATAGCTGCGATCCTATGTTTACCCTTCGCACGTCTTCTCGCTTACAGAACATTTCTATCCCAGAAAAGGACGAATTTTTCTGGGACTCCTTGTGACAGCTGCGGTACACCCGCTGTGTAGCTGCCCAGGCGATCTACGAAACCGCTCATACACTCTGCGATAGAACTCAGGATGCCGTCACTGCTCGTGTTTGGAATCAGATGTATTTTCGAACGTTGCTGGAATAAATCAATTATGTCCCCAAGAAAAGTTAGGATTATGAGTACTAGTCGTTTCATACAAGATCACTCGTTTTAGACTGTAATAGCCAATATTATGGCCGTTTTGCATAGGCGGATCATTGAACTAGTACTATAGGGTAGTGGACGTGCACATACAGCGAGCGACAGAAAAATAGCCAGAACCGGCGTCCTTCTGAATCGGCAGGAACTTCTCCACAGCCGCGCGTCGTAAGCTGCGGACCAGTGCCAAGAAAGGCAACATACATAGTATGCACGTCATAGCGTTGCAGGAAACGGTACCTCAGCTCTCTCGGGCCATTCTTTGGTGAGACTACATTTCATACGCGAGTGAACAGAACAAAACATTGGCCCTGTGAACTTACGGTTTTAGCAAAGCTTGTTGGCTTCTTTTCTATTTTTTGAGTAATATCTAAATTACATTTTCGATGATACGGTCGACATAGAGAATTAAATGAGTCCAGTTACCAGAAGAGACCGCTAAGGCGCCTATTTGTTTCGCGGTTTCCACTGATGCCTTTTCCTGCGACGCGGACAATTTCTCAACACTTCCCTTCTCTTGGGATTTTGTTTTCTCAGTTGATGAGGGACCCTTGTCTCCCAGTGCTTGTTCCTTTGAAGCTGGCTTCTGCGCTAATTCTGAACCCTTGTCCACATCAACTCTCTTTTTTGGTTCTTCAGCTGACCCTGTATGGGCCGTTTGAGACTCGCGATCCGCTTTTTCGGCTTTCTCCGTGTGCCCTTCAGCGCTTGACATTTTCGTCTCCTGCATGGAATCAGGAGTCTGTCTAGAAACACTTTCTCTCTCTACTTTCCCTCCCTCATCTGATCCATGCTCCTTTTTAACATCTGATGTTTGCGATTGTTTCACTTCTTCTAAGGGCGCTTGCTCCTTGACGTCATCGCTCGCTTGGTCTTGGTTTCGTTCCCGAGGCGACTCCGCTGGCTTTCCTTCATTCTCTGCTTGAGCTTGCGCAGCCGGTGCTGCTTCGGGAGCTCCCAATTCTTTGTCTGCATCTGTCTCTTCTTTTTCTTGTTCGGGTTTTGCAGTCTCTTCCTTCCGGGGATCTTTCTCCATCTGGAAAACTGAGCGAAACCTTTCACGTCTTTAAGGATGTTGTGGCACATATCTGTTTCATTGTATTGATGAACCCTCTTTTCAGAATTCTATACCGAATGTGCACTGAATCGATTTTGATGTAAAACTGTAACACTAACCGAAACCATTGTCAGCTCAAAGTGCATTCCGCTAATGCTTATAGGAATAAAAGTCTAGTGTGGATTAAAGTAGTGTGGGCCTCAGCAGACAGTCTCGTGCCAGTTTCCTGTTAGAAAGCTGTACTTTACGAGTGGTGAGGCACAAGGTTGCTTATGAGATCCCACCTGCGCTCGGTCTGGCGTTTCCTTGTCCCTTGCCTTTTACGCAAATCGGAATGGGTTCGGAGCAGTGGAACTCTATTTTGAGGCATTCAAGAAGTCTCTTCGCCATATCTTCACGTCGTGTCAATTGGCTGCACTTCTGTTTTTTAATTTCGCTCCCAACGAAGATTTCGGAGGCGTGTCACAAATGTTCCCCGCTGAGTTAATCTACCAAATTCCTGCTGGTTCATACTGTTTTCTTACTCAACAATCGATCAAAATTCGTTGCCTAAGCCTGTCAGGTATTTGTTTGTGCATCCCTGTCCATCACGACTCAAAGCGCAACAGTGGGATATTGTTCCAGGAAGAAATTTAGTGAGGGAAGCGTAAACACTATTTCCAGGTGAAGGAATGTTTTTATACCTTAAGCCGTTGATACGCCCCCCCCCCATTGAGTCTGCCTCCTATTGCAGTGCAGCAGCACTCATGGGTGTCAGAACGTAACGTAGCCTTTTCGAAATTCCAGAACATTCAATTTGATAATAACATTCAATCTGGCGGTGAAGTCCACCGCTCCGCGTGGTGCCACTGAGAATACCCGCTCCCGCGGGCTGAATTGACCGTGGACACGCAAGCGCAAGTGACAAGCATTCGTGGCAGGTCGGCCTACCAACATATATGTCACATCAGACATGCATGACTATGCCGTATATAATATATGATGAGTGAATGGTGGACCCGCAAGGTCCGACGACTGTGGAAAGTATGCGAGGGTTTCCGATGCAACGGCGTCATCGGAACGACTAAACTAGTCCAAAAGTCGTGCAATAAGGCAGGTCCGCGTGCCAACCTTGAATGTTAGGATGTTAACGGGACGCTCATGTGAGTTAGCGGAGGACTTTGAGCGTAGAAATTTAATCTCTGTGCTGTGCAAGAGACAAAGTGGTCCACTTGCAAACCGAATGACACCCATCACGGCATTGAAGCCATTCTATGTGGCAAGCTCAAGACCACAAGCGGCGTGTCTGTGATCGTCTCTCGGCGTTTCCATGACTTGACAGGAATGAGACGCTTCGATGACCGCTTGATGAAGATCGTAGTCGCTGTCAAGCAACGTCTGAACTATTCCTTCTCTTGAGTACGTTTCGCAAATTGGGTGCAGCGAGCGATCCAAGGACGAGTACTGGTCCCTGCTAGAGGGGAAGGCAGCTGAGTTTCCGTCAAAAAACGTCGCCATTGTCGCTGGTGACTTGAGTGGGCAAAAGACGGTCGCAGTTGTCATGGTGGTTTCTGCCATGGGTTACGGGTCACATAACGCCGGTGAGCTACTTCTAAAGTGTGCAGAGGCACACAACCTAGTCATCAGGATTACGAAGTTGAGTAAACGCGACTCCCACCTCATCAGCTTCGACAGCGGGAGTACTACACTGCTCCACATAATGATAGTTCCACCCATAAATATTACAAAATCCCGTCTTACATGAGGTTTTCAAAAATGTCCTCAATAGAAAATGAGGTAAGTAATCAATACCAGTTTGCATGTCAACACCGGAAACTAACTTGAAAGAACAAGTTTTTTTGTTCATTTTTTTCGAAAATCGGTACTCTGACAATTCCACAAATTATATTCCACCAAACAAATCGATCATCCAGCAGCAAGTGCAAAACAAATGAATAACTTGATTCAGTAATCTACTAGAGCTCACTTTCTAAGAATAGTTTATGCTCAAGTAGGGGTTTTAAATGAGATTTCACTCGGCATGCTGCCATGCATTGGTGGTGAAGTCTGCTCCTCCACGCGGTGCCACTGGATACTGCTCGCTTTGCGAGTTGCCAAACGCAGACGCACGAACGCAGGTGACAGGCCTCCGTGACGGGCCGGCCTACGAACACCCATGTCACATCAATATGTTTGTCATGCCATATGTATATCGAGATAATGCTACGGCGTCCGCGGGAGCCGACGCGCACTCGTATGGCCCGGCGAGTGTGGAAAGTATGCGAGGGTTCTCGTTGCAAGGACGGCATCGGGAGGCAACCAGGCTAGTCCAAAATCGTGGCAGAGCAGCTTGTAAAGTCCGTATCGCAACGTTAAACGTTGGAACCTTGACCGGACGTTCATGTGAATTAGCAGAGGCACTGGAGCGCAGACGAATCGATCTGTGCAGTGCAGGAAACAAGATGGTCCAGTTGCAAGTCGAGAGACCTTGGTCGGGGCTTCAAAGCCATTCTTTGCGGCAAGCCAAGGACCACTAACGGTGTGGCCATAATCGTCTCACGACGTTTCCGTGACTCGATAGCTAGCGTGGAACGTTTCGACGACCGTTTGATGAAGATTGTTCTTGCTGTCGAGCAGCGACTGTACCACTTCTTTTCTGCATATGCTCCGCAAACGGGATGCGCTGAACAATCAAAGGACGAGTTTTGGACTCTGCCTGAGGAGAATACAGCTGAAGAAGTTCTTTGGCATCAATGACGAGAAGGGTCGCCTCCTGATGGACCGAACAAAGGTGCTGAGGCGATGGCGCGACTACTTTGGAGAAATTTCCACAGTGGAATATGAACACCCGGCCATCCCCTGCGCCTTACCAACATACGGTCCCGTTCGAAAGATAAGTGTGGAGGAAACGGAGGCGGCTCTCAAGAAGATGAAGCCAGGCAAGGCAACGGGCCCTGACGACGTGGCGGTCGAAGTATGGAAGTCACACTGCTGGCATGCTGCCGAATGGTTGACGTTTTTCAATCAGGTCGTTGCAGAGAAGAAAATGCCCTGAAGTATGGCAAGAGAGCACGACGGTACCGATCTGGAAGAAAAAAGGCAGTCCTGCAGACTGCTCAAATTATCGTCCAATTCGCTTGCTCTCGCACAGCATGAAAATTTTTGAGCGAATTGTTGATAAGCGTCTTCGTGATATCGTCCAGCTCTCTACCAACCAGTGTGGCTTCGTGACTGGCTGTAGCACCATCGACGCCATACATGCCGCTCGTCTCTTGCTAGAGAAACATCGTGAGAAGAAGAAGCATGTTCACCTAGCCTTCCTTGATCTGGAGAAGGCATTCGACCGTGTCCCACGTGAAGTTATATGGTATGCCTTACGGCAGCACGGCGTTCCCGAAGAGCTGATTGAGTGGGTACGCATCCTGTACTTCAGCCCGACGAGTCGAGTGCGAAGTCCAGCAGGCATTTCGATGGGGTTCCCCATCACAGTTGGGGTGCACCAAGGCTCAGCGCTTTCCCCGCTGCTCTTCGTTGTCGTCATGAACGCCATTTCACGGGACCTCCAGAAGCCGGCTCCTTGGACGCTTCTCTACGCTGACGATGTGATGCTCGCCTGCGAGGATAAGAATGGTCTCGAGGAACAAGTGCAAGCTTGGACTGAACGGTTAGCAAACTTCGGGCTCAGATTGAACGTCAAGAAAACCGAGTACCTGACGACTGACCCGGACGAGTCTGGTTCCCTTAGGGTCAGCGGAAGTGTGCTCACGCGAACGACAGCGTTCAAATACCTCGGATCAACAATTACGTCTGACGGTAGTCTCTACTCAGAAGTGAGCGCGCGTGTGAGTGCAGCCTGGTCTAAGTGGCGGTCTATGACTGGCGTTCTCTGCGACAAGACGATACCAGATCGCCTCAAATCGAAGATATATAGGACCGTCGTTCGACCAGTCGCGATATACGGTGCTGAATGTTGGCCTACGACCAGAGAAGTTGAAGCGCGCCTAGGAGTCATGGAGATGAAAATGTTGCGATGGACGCCGGTGTCACGCGTATGGATCGCATACGCAATGACGACATAAGGAAGAGATTCGGTATTGCTCCTGTGGCCGAGAAAATGCGCGAAGCTCGCCTTCGATGGTATGGTCATGTTCTTCGCGCGGGGTGTGACACCGTCCGTAGGATTGGTCTTGAGCTCGAAGTTCACGGAAAGCGGCCTAAAGGACGCCCCAAGCAGCGCTGGTTAGACACGTTGCATGCGGACTTAAAGATAGTTGGCGCCCATCCCGATCAAGCATTCAATCGGGTGAAGGTGGCGTGACAAAATAAGACGAGCGGACCCCGCTACAGAGCGGGACAAACGCTGAGGAAGAAGAAGAAGAAAACGGTTGCAGAGCACTTCAAGACCGGAAAAATTTGAGTTGGTCGCCCATTGAGAAATGTGGGGCATAAATGTTGTTGGCGGTGCCAGTCCGAGGTGGGCGGAGACAGACAAAAGTTCTAAAACGGTTCCAGAGCACTCCAGGGGCCGAAAATAG